TTCTCGTGTCTCGATAAAATGCACCATAATGCTCTGTAATATTCCAATCGATATATAAGTTAAAATTTCAATTTTGCTTCTAAGAAACGTGGGAGACAAAGGAAGTATGTTCTTTCTCTTGAACAGTTCAAGGTAAAATTGAGAATCTTTCCTTTCCCATTTCGAGAGCGACTTCTTGCGGTCAAACGCAAAATTGCTTTTACATAAAATGACCACCAGTCATACATTAATGGTGGCTACTTGTGATAGACACATAGGTAAAAATTTAGAAAAAATATTTCTCATAATATGGGCCAAGGTTGTGACCAAAAACCATCTGATAATCTGACCTTCCTAGGGTTCTTGTAATGCCTAGCAAATGTTCATCTCGCATTTCACTGGGGTGAGCTGTAACAGTGAGCTGTTTCACAACTCGTTCCTTGTCGGTTTTGTCCTTAAAAACCTTGCCTCGGTCGCCCTTCCTTCCTATTTGAGCCCCAACTACTGCTCTCAAAGGAACATCGAAAGCGAGCGTCTGGGAAAGAGCACTGGCCTCACTCATCAGTCTGGAAAAATGTGGGGATTGTGCTGCGGCGAATTTTTTCTGAACATCAGACAGTTCTAGGGCTGCTTGGCAAAATTGTTTCATGTAAGCCAGGTTCAATTGGAACAATTCGTGCCCGTTTTCCAGATCCTCTAGCATCCTATCACAAATTCTACGTGCGATGGCATCGCAATCGACGTTGTCTAGCACATCTTCGGCGATACTTCGCTTCCAATTTTCGTTAAGGTACGTCCCCCTCCCGCTAATGGCAGACCACACATCAATGACAGCTTTCTTCGCGTTGTCCATAAGCCTCACTCCACTTTTCATCAAAGCATAATCAAAATGAGGACAAACGTCTTGCGTCTCAAAATGTTGTAGGAAACTGTACTGCAGTTGCTTCCTTACAAGCGTAGCTAAGTGGTCGTCTTTTTTGCCGACCTCACTGAGCGAGCCTTCGAGAGATGTGCGTAGATCGTCGGTGATAACGGAGATAGTGTGTTGAATTCTTATCAGCGATATATTCGTAGCCTTGTACAACACCAGGTCCTTAATCTGTCTGCGGCACTGTTCTACCACTTCATTTCGCCCGACAACATCTCCAATTTTGATTGAATCAAACTGCATTTGGGCAACGTCAGATACGATCTCAAGTCTGTTGCACTTGACACCATCTTTTACAATCTTGGAAAGCTTATAGAGATTCTGAAGGACATAGCCACGCATTTTTACCACATAATCGCGTTCTTTCAGCTCAAGCTTATTAAATAACTCATCTTGAGCATGAATCGTTTCTTGGTTGAAGTCACAATTCAAGAAGAAATCAAACACTCTCTTCTGGATCTGACAGAGCAATTCTGCTGCAGATCGCAGATGGCTGGTCACTCCAGCGGCAACAAATTTCAGCAGCTTAAACTTGAGGTCATCAAACTGC